AATGGCCTTCACTGTCTCTTATGACATTCTTCACTCTGAAATCAATGTGGTCTGATATTAGGATGGCTACCCCAGCTTTTTTATGGGAGCTGTTTGCCTGTAGGATTGTTTTCCAGCCTTTGACTCTGAGACTGTGTTTTCTTTGTCTATTGAGATGTGTTTCTTGCAGGCAGCAGAATGTTGGGTTCAATTTTCTAATCCATCCTGCCACTCTATGTCTTTTAATTGGTGCGTTTAGCCCATTGACATTGAGAGAGATTATTGTTATGGGATTTTGTCCCATTGTTCTGTTGAAATTTGGTGTATTTGAGGGGCCTGTCTTGCCTTAATGTAGCCCATTTAGTTGTTCTTGTAACCATGGTTTTGAGTCTATGAAGTTCCTGAGCTGTTGTTTGTCTGTGAAACTGTGTGTTGTTCCTTCTATTATGAATGAGAGTCTCGCTGGGTAAAGTATTTTTGGGGAGGCATTTATTTCATTGAGTTTTTTCACTATGTCCCACCACTGTTTGCGGGCCATGAGGGTTTCATCAGAAAAATCAGCTGTGAATTTTAAGGATGCTCCTTTGTAAGAGATTTCTTTCTTCGATCTTGCTGCTTTCAGAATTTTGTCTCTGTCTAAGGTTTTGGTCATTTTGATCAGAATGTGTCTTGGGGTGCTTTTATTCAGATTTCTTCTAGCTGGTACCCTTCAGGCCTCCTGAATGTGGTCACAAGTTTTCTTCAGCTCTGGAAACGTTGTAGCAATGATGTCTTTGACAGTTTCTTCTTCATCGAGGTTTTCTTCCTGTCCCTCTGGGACTCCAAAAATTCTTACGTTACCCTATTGGCTTCGTCACGATCTTCTCTTGCCATCTGTTCCCGAATTGTGAGTCTCTTTTCCATTTTCTGCTCTTTCCTGGAGAGTCTCTGAACTTGATCTTCAAGCTCACTATTCTGTTCTCAGCAGCTGTTACTCTGCTGCTGAGGCCTTCCACTGAGTTTTTCAATTCGCCTACCAGGTTTTTTAGGTCTGACATTTCCGATTGCATTTTCCTCATTTCTGCCTTCAAATCCTCTTGTCTTTTATTGGCATTGCTTTCTATTGTTTCTTTTAGTTCCCGAAGCATCCTAAGTAGCTCCCTTCATAATTCCTTGTCAGAGAGGTTGTCTAACACTACAGTACTGTTGATGTCTTCTGGGTTAGCTTCTTCAATAATAAAGCTTGTTGGGCTTTTAGGTAGCTTTACCATTGTGACAAGTGTGGTTTAGTCCTTCACGTTTACTGTTACTATTCTCATGCAAACTTTCAAAGTAGTCTCTGATAATCTTTTGAATTTCTTTAATTTCTGTTGTGATATGCCCCTTTTCATTTCTGATACGGTTTATTAGGGTTATCTCTCTCTCTCTGTTTCTTTGTGAGTGTTGCTAGTGGTTTATCTATCTTATTTATTTTCTCGAAGAACCAGCTCTTGGTTTCATTGATCTTTCGAATTGTTTCTTTGGTTTCCATGTCATTGATTTCTGCTCTAAGTTTTATGATCTCTTTCCTTCTGCCTGATTTGGGCTCCTTTTGTTGATCCTTTTCTAAGATCTTGAGTTGTGAATTCAAGTTGTTTATGTGTGCCCTTTCTTCCTTCCTGAGAAATGCTTGCAGAGCTATAAATTTTTCCCTTAACATGGCTTTCACTGCATCCCATAGGTTCTGGTAGCTAGTGTTTTCATTCTCATTTGTTTCCAGGTATCTTTTGATTTTGTCCTTGACTTCCTTCCTGAACCACTTGTTGTTCAACATTGAGTTGTTTAATTTCCAGGTGTTTGATTTGGTTCTCCGTGTCTGTGTGTGATTCACTTGTATTCTCAGTGCATCGTGGTCTGAAAAGATTGTTGAAAATATTTCTATCTTCCTGATTCTATTGAGGTATGTTTTGTATCCTAGCACATGGTCTATTTTGGAAAATATTTCATTTGCACTGGAGAAGAATGTATACTCTTTCTTTCTGGGCCCTGTAAATGTCTATAAGCCCTCTCTTTTCTATTTCTTCTTTCAAAGCCAATGTTTCCTTGCTGAGTTTTATTCCTGTTTATCCATCCAGAGGCGATAAGGCAATGTTGAAGTCTCCGGCTACTATTGTGTTGCTAGCAATGTCCTCTTTAAAATCCATTAGCAGTTGTTTTAAATATTTAGCTGTTCCCTCATTAGGTGCGTATACATTTAAGAGTGTGATTTCTTCCTGTTGTACGTATCTCTAGGGTACATTTTTAAAGGAGAGATAGGGAGTTAGAGAATTCACATGTTTATAATGGTCTTACTTACAATAATAGCCCTCTTAAAATTTAAGCCTGATAAAGGTAGCCCTTTAATTGTGGGACTTATCTTCAACAAATACAAAACAAAAAATACAAACACAAAACAAAGGGAAGAACAAAGTCTATATTTTAAGCTCTTCCTCAAAGCAGCCCTGTTCACAACCATTTTACAGTCCCTGAGGTGGTTTCAATTGACTGAACCAACTAAATAAAGACAGATGGTGCAAGAGGAATGTATTAATATCCATCTCTGCTTAACACAACCCAACACTACATGTGTTGTCTTTATCCATTGACTCAAAACAAACAAACAAACAAACAAACATTTATTAAGTCCTCACTATTTACCTGGGAGGGCTTAGTGGTTTGGGATCAGAGAGCCAGAAACACTTTCAACCCATGTATTTAAATTCCTTTCTTCTTTCTAGTTACTTACTTCCTGCTGGAGAACACTGCTTCAAATGGAGTAAATGGAGTATTTACCTTAGTAAATACCTACAGAAAACCTGGGTGAGGCATTCTGAAGGAGGGAAAAATCAGAAACAGTGTGGTGAATTCTGATAGCATTTAAGAGAGCAATGCCAGCAATGTTTGGAGGAGGCTCTTTGGGAGGGCCTCGTGAGTGATGGTACAGATGGGGGCAGAGAAGATGGGAACAGATTGTTTCCCTTTGTCCAGGGAACAGATTGCTTGAAACACAAGATTTGACTAGAGGAAGATGGCTGAGAGTAAGGGCTACCTTGGGAAGAGTTAATTCAAGATATGGCATTTGTGGGCACCTCAACAACAGAAGGAGAGGCATTTTATCAGCGAACTGCTGCTGTAGTAATGAATTACTTAGAGGACTATAACAACACGCTTATTATAGCATGACTCTCTAGGTCAGTAGTGTGCTATGAGTCCCACTATGCTAAAATCAAGGTGCCATCAGAGCTGCACCCCTTTTCTGGAGACTTTAGAGTAAACTCATCTGAAATGTAACAATATCAGCAAAGTCCTTTTTACCAATGAGGTGACATATCCCCAGTAATCGGTAATAGAATGCAGTTATCCTTAGAAAGATCTTTTCCACCCTCCTTGTGCATTAGGGGCATAGGGCAGGAGAGTGATACCACTGGGAACCTGCCCAGGGAAGGGTGTACTGGTATTAGTTAGGAGGAAAGCTGGGGAACAGAGGCCAGTCAGAAGAACTGACCCAGTCATTACAGAAATCACACGCTTTAGTCTAGTGAGAATCAGCAGGGAAGGTCAGTGGATTGGGAAGAGGCTCCCTGGGAATGAGCAGGTAGTTGGATAGAGAGTGGAGGGAAGAGAAGAAAGACAGACTGGTCAGGATAGCTCAGGCCTTGAGCTTCCATGAGGGTGAGGATTATGGTGCGAGTCCTTTACTAGGTTTGAGAAGTGCTATTGAAGTTTCCATCTTATTATCATTGGCGAAATAAGAAATATGAATAAGATGAGAAAGAGAGGAAGTCCAAGAGGAAGAGAGGCATCGACTGAGTCCGGCAAAAGCAGGAGAGAAGTGAGAGACAGGAATGTGAGCAGAGAGGTATTGGTAAACGTACGAGCTCAGAGGTTTGAGGTGGAAGAGGTAGGTGAGTGTAAACTTTCAGTTCACTGGGGTTGTGTTTGCACGGGCAAGTGACTGATGTTCAGGATTGTTCTGGAAGACCTGTTTGCTTTCAACAACTACTTACTGTCCACCTTGTCTATTTTCTCTTTCACACCCTTGCACCTCCCTGTTCCACTTCTCCATTTCCTTTCCCTGTCGCCCAGCCTTCACACTGGAATTGTTGCTCCTGGAATCTGAGGCCTTTGAAAACGTAAATGGAGGACCAGTTTTCACCCTGTCACAGATCCTCACAGCTAGTACAAGGACTAAGGGCCACACGGGTCCAGGAACTTTGTGGGTCTGGACTCCTGGGAACTTATGGTCAGGAGCACCGAGTCCTGACTCCAGCCTCCGAAGAAGTTTACAAATGGACAGGGAAGGGGTTTCCTCTGTCTTGGGGAGGTGACAGACACACGCAGCGCATCGCTTAGGATGGGAAGGCATCCCGGGAAGGGACATTGTCTGGGGAAACTTGGGTGCTTTGTCTGGACACAAAGGGTTCCCTCTGAGCCTTATGCACCCAGTCTCTCTGCCCTGGCAGTCCCAGACAGAAGGAAGTCCGCGCCGCAGCGGTACCCCACCCCTTGGCCGGGACTCCACAGGCGCTTTCAGTTTTTGTGTTTATTAGCTTAGCCAGAGGAAGCGGCGCTCAGAGAGGTTGGCCAACTAGCACAAGCTCACCCAGGAGCCTGCAGGGAGCCCCGGCTCTGCACGGCGCTCCTGCCGGGGAAGGCGCCTGCTGGCCAGCCCTGGGGTACTGAGTTTCGTCCTGGCCGGACCCTACGCCCACGCCCCTGGGGTGGGCTGGGGGCGAGGATCATGCGGGCTGCGCCAAGGTGAGCGGCGGCTGGGGTTCCACGTCCGCCCCCTGTCCCGGGTGTGCGCCCGGCGCCCGCGGGGCCCCTCGCGCGGGGGCTGGAGCCGCAGCCGGGAGGCGGCGGGGAGGAGCGCGCGGCGGCGGCGGGAGAGGATCAGCGGCTGCGGTGGCCGCGGCGAGCTGCGGGGCGCGGGGTTCCCTTGGCCGCGGGTGGCAGGTAGGTGGGGCGCGCGCATCCGCCGGTTCCAGAGCCCGAGCCCAGGGCCGCGTGGGGAGAGGCGGCGGGGGCGGGCAGCGCTCCGGGTCCCAGGCTTGTGGCTCCAGGCGGCTGGCGGGGCTGGACGGTCGCGTGGGACTGTCGCCGGCGTGGACCGGGGGAGGGATGCGGAGCCAGCGCCTGGCGCGCGCGTGTAAGTACTTGTGAAACTGCTCGTGGGATCACAGCTTCTCGGAGGACTGTGTGTAGAGGGTGTGTGTGTGTGTGTGTGAGAGAGAGAGAGAGAGAGAGAGAGAGAGAGAGAGAGAGAGAGAGAGAGAGAGAGAGAGAGAGAGAGAGAGAGAGAGAGAGAGAGAGAGAGAGAGAATGGGACACTGGGCATCCGTATCGGGAGGTGTGTAAAGGGACGCTGCATGTTGCGCCCTGAGGATGATGCTGATGCTGGGCGTGTGACCCACCCGGTGTGGTGCTCTCTCTCCGCGTGAATGCCACCAGACAAGGCATATTTAAGTGTGTAAGGGCTGCATGTGCAAGGGCGCGTGAGTGTGCGGGCAGGCTGGCTGGCTGCGTGATCTCTGGCCACAGCCTCGCTCCTCCTGCATCCCGCTGCGTCCTACTCCCTCTCCCAGCTGTCTTCCCGTGGTGCAGGGGGCTGCAGGGGAGGCGGTGCTGCCCGATGCCTCGGACTGTGAGGACAGAGGAGCGAGTGGTGGATGACAGAGGTGGGGAAATGATGTGCTTTTGCTCCTTATTCTTCGTTTTCCAGTTCCAGACAATGCTGGCTTGCGAGCCCGTTCATTTCAACGGGGAATAAAATGTTCCTGGGCATGCAGGTGTGTCACGAACCAAAGGTGGCTTTGGGGGAAGGGACACTTACGTTGATTGCCTCCTTGTCTGGATAGTGCTGGAAGAGTGGCAGTTCTTACGTGCGTGCGTGGGGATGGGGACTCAGTGGGGAGCTGTGGCTGTTGCATTTCCCGGGGACCCTGAGTGAAGCTACAACCTCATGGATCCCGAGAGAAGTTGCTTCCTGCTCAGGTGGGACACACCACCAAGGACACCTTGAGATGCAACTGTCAGCCAGCAGATGAGACTTGTGGAATTCCAAGGAGTAGTTCTGGACTGGGAAGTAATTCCCAGGGGCAGGGTGACGGGGGGAGTAGAAAGTGAAGAGCTTTTGCGGCTTTATCAAGGCATATTTTCCCTCAGAGCCAGTGATCTTAAATTCTCTCTCATGCATTCACCCTCAACCCCCATGGGAAGGGTCTTATTCTAATCATTATTATGTAGTTGAGTAGAGTCAGATGGTTGGTCCTTTAAATTCCAGGGCCTAGGACCCAGCAGAAAAGAATTCCTCTGAGTAATTTCACTCCTGAAGCTATTTCTTTCAGGGACTACAGTGGCCTTGTCACCAAGTTAAATCTTTTTCCTCCCAGTTGAATTGTCTGGGATCTCCCTGGGACTGTTCATCCCCTTGTCTCTTTCCTTCATGATACATACTAAGGGATTGGCTCTTTCTAGCTCTTTTATTGTGCCACTAAATCCCTGTGAGTCACCTTTTCATCAGGCCTCTGCAGACTCCAGCAGCTGCCCAGCTTTGTCAATAGGCAGGATTTGGCCATTTTCCCTCCATATCCCTTGAATTAACAGCCACCCCCCTTTGTTTTTTTGAATCCCTTTTGATATCAATTTATCAGGGGAGGCAATCTATTGAAAAGTTGCCAAAGGAATAAATATCAATTATGAACACCAAGAGAAGACCCTTAATATTGTTACCCTTTTTGGACTAATCAGTGTCATAGGATTTTTTGGAAACATTCTGGGCATTCTGATGATTGTTGTATTTCATGACCTAATTCAAGTCTCTTGACCTTTCAAATTTGTTTCTTATCTATAAACTGTGATAAAATATTTCAACTGAAATTGAGTTGCTAGATTATTTCTTGTGGGAAATCGTCCTCCTAAGAAAACCTACAAGGTTGGGTTATTGTAAGGTTTTGATCTTAGAATACAAAAGGTTGGTAAATTGCATCCAGGAAAGAATAGAATAGATAACAGAACAAGCAAAAATGCACCCAGGAAAGAATAGTACAAAATGTTGAGGGACTTTTAGATGCCTGCTGGCTGGTTATAAAATACCCTAGCAATTACCTGTTGAATGTTGATGCACTTACTGTCTTTACTGTTTCAGTCAACTTAAACAATGGCTCTCCTGGAAACCCAGAGGGGTGTGTGGGAGGTGGGGAGTGATATTGTGTTGAGTAAAAGGCCTGCCTGTGAGACCTGGTGGCTGCTTCAGGTGTCCTTAAAGCTTGAACAGTCCATTTGTGTTTGTCTCAATCTCTGCTACTGACCCTCACTGGTCAGAGGTCAAAGGTGCCAATCTAAAAGGCATTAGATAATTTCTCAGGTTTGTTCTAATTCCAAAATTCTCTAATTATCCTAAATGATCTTTGGTTTAGCCAGAAACATTTTGCCTTAACTTACGAGTTCTTTCCAACATTAAATAATTGGGTTTATCTATCTACCTATCTATCTATATGTATGTATGCATATATGCATGTATAATTTGTCTTTAAGGGTACAAGAAATAGGGAAAAGGTAGACAAGAAGGGTGAAAATACACTATTATCTTTAAGTTGGGGCCAAGGATCAAGCCTTTATTGAGGAGGTGAAGGGATTATAGAAGAAACATTAATTTCTCTCATCAAATGCTGTAGTCTCCCATGCCGTTGTCTTTTGTTGGGGTATGGGTGCACCTGGCTTTCTTCTGGCTCTGCCCTCAAGGGCAGGACTCAGGGGCCCATATGGGATAGCAGGATCGAACCTGGGTTGACTGCATGCAAGGCAAAGACCCTACCTGCTGTACTATTGCTCTGGCCCCACGTGTCATTATCTTTCTGAAAATAGCAAAAGAATAACGTATCCTATCTTATTAAGATAATGTTACTCTGCACTGTAAGCTTAGAATTTCTTAAATTTCCATCCAATCAGCATTTGGGGTTTTACCACTTTTGATTGTGAGGAACTGTCCTTAGTCCTGTAGCACTGGCCAGCAAGCTCAAGGACATCCAGATGCCTGCAACTAACCCACAGTTGTAACAAGTGAACAGATCATCACAAATGACCATGTCTTGGTTGAAGGACAGTAGTGTCTCTGAGGAAAATCACTGCTGTAATTCAAACATAAGTCTGTGATCCTATGTACAGAAACGCTTATAATAAAGCATTTTAGTAAGTAGGTGAGTAGCCATATCACTCACTGCCTTGCCACCCCCATTCAATTTGTCCCCTCTCACATACCTACCTTTCTCTCTCCTGGTTTCTCACTGCCTTGTTCCTATGCCTGGAAATGTTCAAGATGCTGCTGAAGGCTGTGAAGCATTTCAGAGGCAACATAATAATAATCCTAATAGGTACATTAATCCAGTCCTTGAAACATACCAGGCACAGTTCTAAATGCTTTACGTGGATGATCTCACTTAATCCTCATTAGGAATATGATAAGGAAAATAGTTTCAAGTCCCCCGATTTTAGTGAAGAGGTGAAAGACATGCTCAAATTCTCTCAGCAATGAAGTAGGGGTGGGGATGGGGACAGGATTGGTTATGTGTGCTGTTTGACTCAAGTCCATGTTCAGACCTTCCACCAGTGCCTTCTGTGCAGAGGATCTCACTATCTCAGGGTGGAAATTATCTTAAATACCATCTAGTTCAATTATAGAACCAAGTCTGCTCTTAGAGAAGCTAGAGTCAGGAGGATGGTGGTTATGCTAGTGAAAAGGATGTGATTTCTCTCTCTCCTCTCTCCCTCTTTCTCCCTTTCTCTCTCTCTCTCTCTCTCTCTCTCTCTCACTTTCTGTCTTATTTGTGTCATTGCAGTTATTCAGAAATCCAGAAAGAGCTCCAAAGCATATGTAGAGAGCCAGAGGTGTGGCAATAACATTTGGGAAAACTGAGGAGAGGGACCCTAAGGAATGGAAAGTAGGCACAAAGGTTGGAGCAGACAATAAATGAGACATTTCTCTTTTCATTAAGTTTTTATCAACCACTAAATTTAATATATCTCTCCTGTCACCAAGATCAAAGTGGCCAAGAAAAACTCCCCTTTATCATATTCTTCTTAGTGGTCTCTCTCATTGTTCAAATTCTTCTATACAAATTCTTTTGAGGCAGTAGAGAGTAATGAACTTTTGAACAAAGGGAAAAATTAGTGCAATACAAATGGCCACCAAACCAATCTGACACGTAGAGTCAGGGTATGAATGACTACCTTAATAATCACTCTTAACATGGAAGATCCAAAACAGGTCTGAAGAAGCGTGATAGCTTTGTCTAAGATCTCGGTCCAGTTTACTCAAAAGCAGAGAGCTACTGTTGAATTCATGATAAAACCTTGGAAGCCTCATCATTTAACTAAGATATTATTTCCCAATCGCATCAGAATTCATCAGAATCATTTACAAGACCAATTGAAACAGATTGCTGGTTCCTACTCACATTTATCACCTGCTTCTATGCTTATGTTCTTATTTCTTCTCCAAAATGATCCTCTGGCTGCTATCTTGGAGACCACATTTGAGAATCACATGGCTAAGACCTAGATAACTAAATAAAGCTCTTGGTCCACCCACCCAAAATGTTTTAATGAAGAGACACATTGCAAAAGATGTCTAGCTTGCCTGCTCTTCATTTACATTACTATTCAGCATTCCCTTGCTATGCTTCTTTATATCCTACACATGAGTGAGATCATTCTCTGTCTATCCCTCTTCCTCTGACTAATGTCATACAGCGTGCTACTCTCCAGATGCATCCATGTAACAGCAAATTGCATACACCATCTTTTCTTATAGCCGAGTAGTATTCCAATGTGGAGATATTTCATAGATTTATTATCTAGTTATCTGTTCTTAAACACTGGACACAAAACATCTTGGATGCTTCCAGATTTGGGCTATTGTGAATAGAGCGCCAAAGAGCATAGCAGACCTCTTTTCGGCATTGTGTTTTGGGGCTATTGGGGGGGTATGTTCACAAAGTGAAATTGTTGGGTCATATGAAAACTCAATTCCTAGTCAGGGGTGGGTAGAGAGGGGGGAGAATTAGATTAGGGAAGGGTCCACTACCAAAAATTAAAGAGGTAAGTGGTCATTATACCAGGAACAGGTGATAAAAGGAGGTAAAGTAACAT